TTGTTTATAAACATTTATTATACTAATCACAAAGCTTCGCCAAGAAGGCAATTAAAACAAGAGCGCTAAAGATTAGCTATGCGGAAATTTGACATGTAAATGGTGTCAATTTAGCATGCTTCCTGCCTTCAGCTTTACCAGCAGCGGATGCGCTCAACAGCGAGACAGAAATTCCTTCAGTAGCAGCAGTTGACACAGCTTCAGCGCCAGTAGAAACCGCGGTAAGATCAACAGGAGTCGAAGCCCCGGCTGCACCCTCAACAGCAACAGAGACAGAAACAGCACCAGAAACAATGGCAACATCAGCAGCAACTGTAACAGAAGCGGCAACCGAGTCAGAGGCAACGGCAACCGATACAGCAGTTCAACCGGCAGCTGGTAGGCGATGTGGAAGGCATGATTGCTTGTTGCCGACATTTACACGGCAATTTTGTGTGCTTTTCATCGCAACGGGAATGGCCCTGCATGTTACGAGTGCTTACACGTTTTATTCTTCTACAAAGACGAAGATACATATGTGCATGACAATTCCAGCATGAACTGATTTTTTCACCACAGAACATGTTGAGGCGTAATGCTTTGGCGAACATAATACCCACAGTAAACATGTGGCGGCCTGGAATCTCCTGGTTAACGTTTCAGAGGGTTAGCAATCATCACTGATGACTGATATCGAGTGTTTGACTAATCTTTTGCATTATAATGACTTAATGGATATTAGGGCATACATTAACGATGCGAATGACCAATGGTATCCGCATTATAAAAAAGAAAAAAAAAAAATACGTATGGTGCCTGCAAGTATGGTGCATGGCAGTGTTTCACAACGACTGGTAGTGATGCATGAACATAACCATTTTTATCTGCGTACAAGTTGTGCCAGCATGTTTAACGAATTTCTGATTATTTCCTAACACTAATTTCTCGTGTATTTTGCCGTTCGGCTTTCACATTTCAGGCTGACTTTAAAATGCTCTAGATCAGTAACCACTGATTTAAGGCATTTCAGGAAAGATGTCCAGCCAGCTTGTGGACTTGAGAATGGTTATTCATGTATGAAATATCATACATAATTAACTATCACAGATCCTTTGACTGGGTTCACGTTTTTTCTGTACCTGTGATTTCTACATATATACAATGTGCTTGTATACTTATTCTTATAATAACTACGACTACAACTCTTTTGGTACATCCCTCTTATTGTGCTCGTCTACTTCTGCAAAACTTATGTCAGCATATTGCAACTTTAGCATCTTGTCAGCGGGCAAACACGCATTCATCTTCACGTCACCCATTCTTACCGTCCTCTTTGCCTTACAAGCTGGATTGGCTGCTGACGTTGACGAAGCAGTTGCTGCCGTCCAAGACGTTGCTGCCGTTGCCGACTCCGTTCGGACCAAGCGCCAGGAGACGGAACTCACGGCCGCTGACGAGCTTTCCTTTGCCCTCGCTGGCCTTGGTTCCCTCATAGGTAAGGCCCCGCGCTCTTGGTCCGATCTGTCGCGCCACTTGCACCAAGCAGCTGATGCGTCAGCTGTGCGTTAGAGAGAGTCAGATGGCAGCTAAGTCGAAGACATTGACAAAAAAGATAAAAGATATGTGAAAATATCATGCAAGTTATTAGATCTATTGAGTACTGCATGTCTATTTACTGCACATAAGGAATATATATATTTCTTTATACTCACAACCATTAGTCACGGACCTTTCCCATAAAGAGGAAGGATGGCTCCTCTAATGCTTGTACAGTATTTTACTGTTATTTCAGTTGGTTAAGCATAAACAGATCAAATGCAACATCATGCATTTGATCAAATGCAAACATTATGTACCGTTGGTACACGATGTTGTCTAAGAATTCCAATTAATTTGTTTAATAAGAGTGATGGATGATGAGCATAAGCTTTCGAGTAGTTTCAGCTTCCTTCCACATGTCTTTTCATTAGAAATATAGAAAAAGTATCATGTGCATGATATGCTGTTGACTGACAACCTCTTACTCAATTTACAGTAGTATATTGCATGGCAGATATAAACCTATTCTATTGTTTCAGTAGGTTCATGAAACTTTTTTGCACTGATTATAATTTCTAATTTTGAACTTGCTTCTGATAATTGCATGTTATGAAATTTCCCTTAAATCTGATGATGCTAACTTGCCCGCCTGATTTGGCTCAGCGCGCCAGCACTAACCGGCTATCTGCGCGGGTCCTCGTCGCGCATGCTGTCGATGGAAACTGCCACGGCTCGAGGTGAGGGGCGCCTGCTGCATGAAAGCTCCCGCGTGGCAACGCATCGCCTTCATCAACATCTTCAGGCCTTGATACTTGTCCTTGTGACAGTTTTCTGGATTTGTACAAAATCTGCACTGTGCAATCTCCTTGTGCGCTGACGAAGGCTTTGGGTTCTCATATAGCTTACATGGTTTGTCTTAACGCTGTAGTTTACTTTGTGTTAGGTTAAACGAGTTCCTTTTTTCCAATTCTAACATGGTGACTTGGGCATCGCAGGATCCAATGTTGGTCGGTACCTTGACGCCACCTTTAGCGCTAACGTGGACCTCATTCAAGGCTTCGAGAACACCGGGCTCCTTGTCCTCGACCAGGTGGATGAGCGTCTCCAGAGACGCCAGGAACGGCTGAATAAGCTCAGAGCTGCTTCTTCCTCCTCCTCTTCTTCCAACAGTTAGACGTGACTCCTCAGGGATACATTCGCCGTCAACTGTCGTTCCTCACCTTCCAGTCTCATTCATAACCGGTTCTATTACCAGCGAACGGACACAAAATCAGCTTCAGTCAATTTGAGCTGCACCCACATACGCAGCAGAAAGACGGACGAAATGCTCCAGCGCGCTGGAACTTTTCCTTTCGCCCATCCCACTCCAGCCCGCCCGCCCGGCCTTCAGCAGTCGCCAGCGCCGAGTGACCCGGCAACTGTCCATGGCTTCACTAGTTGTACAGATATATGTTACTGTTATTTTATTTACATATTTTACGTTTATTTACATACATACACGTGCCCGACTTCAGACACGCACATAAAAGACACACGCACCCACCCTGATTTTACAAAAAAAAAAAAGAAAAAGAAAAAGAAAAAAATCCATACCTTTTATGATTTAATTGTTAGAGAAGTAGTTGGATTCATGGTTACATGTATATGTATGTCTATGTTTCTTGTGCACCGTTTTGATGTAGACCATTAAACTTTTAATGCAAACACACACACAAACACACACACACATATATATATTCATATCTATCTACCTATCAATTAATCTATCAATCTACCTATCTATCTATCTCCCTATCTCTCTCTATATATATATACGTACACACATACAATCAAACATATAGTTTATGCATATACTATAGATATATTTAAATATGTTACAGAATTATTAGTTTTTATTTATGGTATGCTCACTAATAAACCATCCCTGGTAACATCTAGTTTCTCATTTCCAGATTAAACTGATTAAATAAAACATGTAGATGTGCGAAATAGGTTAATGGAAAAGACGAAGAAGAAGAAACTGATATAGATATACGTGAAGACGCAAGCACAAAATAAGCAAATACACACCCTCACACATCTCTCTATATACATACATACATAAATAAATGAATTAACACACACACACACACACACACACACACACACACACACACACACACCACACCACACACACACACACACACACACACACACACACAACACATACAATATATATATATATATATATATATATATATATATATATATATATAATATATATATATATATAAACAGTATATATGTACACACACATATATAAACACAATTATGAAGCATGAACTGAAAGAAAAGATCTCCGAACTGAACCGAAGATTCGTCGATTCCGTTAACAACAACAAAACAAGAACAGATCTGCATTCATCTTGGCGTCGAGCAGTAACCTTTCCCTTTCACCCACGTTTTTGTGTCCGAAGTGAAAGCGAGAGTGGTGGCGGATAAACCCCCGTTCATACTCCTTCACTCTCTCTCTTTCACACCCACTGTTTTACCTCCTCCTCTCTCTCTCTCTCTCTTTCCTCTCTCTCTCTCACTCACTGTTTCCCCCTCTCTCTCTTACTCTCTCTCCCTCCCTCTTTCTCTCTCTCTCACTCACTCACTGTTTTCCCCTCCCCCCCCCCCTCTCTCTCTCTCTCTCTCTCTCTCTCTCTCTCTCTGTCTCTCTGTCTCTCTGTCTCTCTCTCTCTCACACCCACTGCATCCCCCCTCTCTCTCTCACCCAATGTTCTCCCCCTCACTCTCTCTTACTCTCTCTCACACACCTACTGTTTTCCCCTCTTCCTCTCCCCCCCCCCCCCTCTCTCTTTCTTACTCATTCATTCTATCTCTATTTCTCTTTCTCACACCCATTGTTTTCCTTTCCTCTCACTCTCTCTGTCTGTTTATCTCTCCCTCCCTCCCTCTCTCTATCTATCTATCTCTCTCTTTTTATCTCTCTTTCACACACACACACACTTTCTCCCCCTTCTCTCTCTTACGGAGGAAAATGATGGCTTAGATATTTGGACAATTGGGTCGAATCATAATTGGTGGTTATTAAGGGCTTAAATTACCTGATGGGAGAAGAGGTTGAATTATAGCCAAGGGTGGAGATGGATATAGTCTCAGATGTCTCTGTGGAATGGGTGAAACTAGTAAGAAAAAAAGGCTTAGATATCTGAATGGGTGGTGCATATCAGTAAATCCATGGTAAAGATCCACAAAGGAATGAAGATATTTCTCAATTAGTCATTCACGTACAAATATATGGCACACAGGTAATTTAGGAGCACGTTCTACTAGAACTCTAAGATAGCATTTTCCGAAAACCACTTAAAAACAAGTTATATACAGAACAGTATGTTCATTGGCTTGGAGGTCCGATGTGTGAATTTTCGAGATGAATTAGATGGAATGTGAATTTTTTTCTAATGCTCTTTGTAATATAATAGGAAACTGTTTCAAGAAAAAGTTAACAAATAGAACCGTACTTCTGTATTCTGTCCTATTTGGAAGAATTGAGATTCAATTCTCTCCCCCCCCCCTCTCTTTCTCTCTCTCTCTCTTCATAGACACGCAAGGTTCCTTCAAAGTCACACCATATTAGCAAGGCAAGCAATCATATTCTGCCTGCTTTGGGATGCGAATCGCCCATTAATGTCCTCTGACCTCGACACTGGCTCGACCACCTACGCTAGTCATCAACAAGGCTACAGTCAGCCTCCAGGCAGTCTGCTATCAGTTCCAACCTGCTGTTAATTCCATTGCCACAGTGGATTTTGTTTGCTGTGACAGGCTGTCTGTTTATTTGCTTCTAAATTTCCCCCTGTGTGCGAGGAGTGGCCGGGGTTGCCATCCACTGCTGGCGTGGGATTTGATCGCTGGTCAGCAAGAAATGCAAGACGAGAACGCTACTGTTGCACTGCACAGCGCACAGAGGGGGAAAGGAAGGCAGACCAAAGGAGAGGCAAGGGGCAAGGGGAGAGGGCCTGGAGGAAGGGCAGGGCAATGGGCAGTGTCATGCAGGTGGCTGGTCGCGGTCACGACAGAGAAAGACACAAGTGCGAAGGCCGCTGACGCAACAGACGACGCGGGTGAAGCAGGAGCGGGACGCGAGGGGAAGAGGCGGAGAAAGTGGTAGGCTAGTTCATAGGACGACAAGCAAAGGTTAGACTGCAGGGGCCTTTTGAAGAGGCTTCTGGAAAAAAATGGCTCTGAAAGTCCTTAGCCCACACGCATGCACGCACACACGCACGTAAGCATGTACACACACACACACACACACACACACACACACACACACACACACAGACAAACAAACAAACACAGACACGTATATCTCTCTCTCTATAGATATATTATATTTATGTATATACATGCATATTCATATATATATATATATATATATATATATATATATATATATAATATATATATATATATATATATATATATTATATATATATATATATATATATATATATATATATATATATATATATATAATATATATATATATATATATATATATATATATATATATATATATATATGTATATGTGTGTGTGTGTGTGTGTATATACATCTATCTATCTATCTATCTATCTATCTATCTATATATATATATATATATATATATATATATATATATATATATATATGTGTGTGTGTGTGTGTGTGTGTGTGTGTGTGTGTGTGTACATGCGTTTGTTTGTACACACACACACACACATACATACACACACACACACACACACACACACACACACACACACACACACACACACACACACACACACACACACACACACACACACACACACACACACACACACATAGATAGACAGATATACTTTTATGTGTATATACATATGTACATACACATACATACATTATAATGGTCTATAATTCAATTATAAAGAGTCCCACTATACTGAATGACAGGGTCAGAGAAACACATAATCTTCGTTGTTTCTCCAGTTTATTTAAGGTGTTAGTTACGGTGCAACTTGGCAGGTAACTTATCGGTCAGCTCCACGGGTTGTCGGGATGGTCGGGGCGAGCGAGGGCGTTTGTTCTGACCCCGAGAGTGGTCAGCGAAATAGTGAGAGCAGGTCCAGCTGGGTCACCCTTAGGTCGGGTCGGACAGAATGGTGTATATTTAGAAATAGCCGCCTGGTACAAACATCCGGTACCAACAACAGGTGTACGAATATGGTGCGCCTTATTAGTAACTCTCATATCGCTCAGCCACCTACCCCGCCTCGCCCTCGAGGTGCTGAAAATAGATCCTCCTCGAAGTTGAGCTGACGTTCGTACTGCCTCCCTGCTGCGACACGGATCGGCTGACGACGAGGGTTCACGGCGTACGTCCTCGTTTTCGCCTGATCGGTCGTCGTCGGTCTTCGTGGCGAGCGTCCTAAATCTTGTCCTTCTGCAGGGTGTGTCTGTCCACGGCGTATTCACGCGAAGTTCTCGTGGGGGTAGACGGTCCTCGACCTGGTCCCTCTTGACGGCTGGCATTCCTGTCTCTGCTTCGTGGGAGCCGCTTACTGTCGACGACTCCGCTGATGGCAACCAGACCATGCACACAAGGGCCAGGATAGTAGGAGAGAAAGATGCGACAGATGGGGGGGGGGGGATGTGAACGATTTGCTACGAGGTGGCTAAACAATCTATTTATGAATTTATATTTTTTTTCTTTCTTTCTTTCTTTCATTTCATTTTTTTTTTCTAGGGAAATGTTCGAAGTGACCCGCAAGGGCCTACTTGAACTCCGAACAGTCCGAACAAGGATTGAAGAGAGAATAGCAATTACTACATCTACAGGTACTCAGTGCACTAGGCTTTGTGTTGCATAAGGATAGGGTCCTGATACGGGGAACCCGAGGCAACGCGTTCAGCGGCCTTACTGTGGATTTGCTCGTCCTTCCTATGCATCCGATATGCTTTCGCATAGCACGCCCCAAATGCTAATAAAAGAAGCATGCCAATCGAGGTGACATATACAGGATAGGAAAAATGTAAATTAAATTCCATCAACCCTACATCCGCGTCCTGAACCTTACTAATGTCCCTTAGATGTAACTCCGGGATCGTGATGTTGATTGTCGGCAAGGTCAGGAGCGACGGCCTAATCACTATAAGATCTGCAGCGACGTCCGTAACGAAGGATTTGATTGCAGGAACTTTTAATGACAGGGAACTTAACTTACAGTGGTGAGGTAGTACAAAGAATCCCTGCAATGACCTATCTGGTTGAATCTCTTTGCAAGCAATAGTGGCGGCTGTTGATTGATAGAAATATATCAGGGTTACCTGAGAGAGGCTAAGCATAAACGGTGAGATCTGATCTTTTACCTCCTCGAAGGAACAGAGGGAGGTAACAAACCTATTAGAAACAAGAGCACGAGCACAAGATGGAGATTGAAGAGATGATGGTATTGGTGCAGAAAAACACATGTAAATGTCCTTGGCAGGCTTCGTACAGGAGTGTAAGAGGTCGGAGGTAGGGAAGGATAAAGCATGTCCCTCTATTTCCCTAAGGATAAAGGTGTGTGGGACGCTAACCATGTAGTGTGAGTTGTTAGTTTTGTGTGGGAAGGGGTGAACGCGGTAAGCTCTAAAGACAGTAGGAGGACACACCAGAATAATAACAGATAGTCCAGACAGAGTGAGGAGAGATTTCAGGCTAGCATAAAACCAAGTGCGTTGTCCAAGAGGGAAGAGAGTCTTGACAGAAAAAGAAGACACATTGCAAAGTACTACGTTCATGTTGGTATATGAAATCAAGGTTGGCAAGACCTCACCATGCGCCGCAGGAATGAGGGCAGTCGCCAAGTCTTTCACTCGCCGTGTAATTTTGTTAACTGTATGCTGATGAGAAAACAAAGTCAAAAAAGTAAGGTGAGAAAC